TCAGGGTAAGAAATTCTGGTTAAATATTTGCTTGTTTCTTTTGGTGGGAGAGGAGGAGCTTTTATGTGTGACCACCTTATATTCAGTGTATATGGCAGTTTTTCCCAATCGTACAGCTCTGGTAGCAGCAAGATTTACCACAGAAAATCTGCACAGAGATTATCCTCCTAGTGATTATATATAGATGGCATATTCCATGTATGTTATATTCAGAATGTGACAAGTTCTTGGCTCATCACATTCAGTGGAGTCTAACTATGGTGAAGTCATTTCACAGTACAACTTTAATATGAGCAAGTTTTGGTATAATCAAATTATAATATATGTATTCCAATTCACTGGGGGGAAAAAAACAAAACAAAACCTTAATGGTAAGTGAAGATTTGATTTCATTGGAAGCAGACTCCTTGCTAAGGCAAGGTATCATGGTTGTCTTCAGATCTATACTTAAAATGTTTGTTTTCTTTGGAAACATGGTGAAAACCAGCACCTCTCACAGTAAATGGAAAATTGTATTTCTCAAAATGCCACTGGAAATGCACAACATGATATAAATGTATTTTGTAAAGAGCAGCTAAATTGATTTAAAATGCATGCACACAGAATTTGGTATCCCACATCCTGGGTTTTGTTTTTTCTTTTTAACAGTATTGTGGAAATTTTGTAGAGGTTGGCACTTACAAACATGATGGATGTGGAAGCACAGGTTACGCTGATAAGCTTCGGGGGGGAGGAAGAGGTCTGTTAGCTAGTGCATAAAACCAGCATTTTGTACATGGTGGCCAAAAATCTGCAACTGGAATATCGGTGCTATTCTGTTTCAGTCCTCACCACAGTGTAACTAACAGATGCGCAAGTTTTTAGGAATATGTTGTTGTTTATCCTTTCTCTACAGTAACACTGCGATAGCTAGATGTTATATAGCTGTTATGCACTGTTTTTCTCCAGAATTCCAGTCCCTCAGAATTATAAGCCCTTATGTTTTGGTCAGTTCTGGTTAAGGTCCCCACTGTCTTGGAGTTATGTTTTACCTTTTGTTAACACCTAATGAAGTTGAACAACACCGCTGTGTTGAGGAATAACCATCATCTCCCTTCCAGCCTTGTACCCATCAGGCTAATGCAGGCCTGAGTTATATGGACTTAAATTATTTTAAAATGAATGTAACACTGTAAATCAGGATTAATCCAAAGATAAATCAAGTCTTGAAGGATGAGTGCAAGGACTGAAACTTACTCTTTCTCCCAACGGCTGATCCAAATAATGGTTAAGCCTCAGCGTGTGCATCCTGCAGGTGTAGAGGCAGCCAGAACAAGTCTTGGGGAATTTCACAAGAGAAAAAGTACATGAGCAGGAAAAGGCAAGTGATGTGCAATGTTGCTGTTGGGTAGTTTTGCTCCTGAAAGCACAAAGGAGTGAATATTCGCACAGTAGGTATATTTATACCACTATATGACAGGAAAGGTTAATTTTTTGGGGGGGAATCTGTTTTTACTTCCTTGGAGCTAAATTCTGTGTAGAACTAAGTTTGAATTGGTGGCATACCTCACCCCCCTCTCCTGGCTGGGGATTTTGAGGGGCAGTGCCCTGGTTGCCTGTTGCAGCACTCTCCAGAGCTCGTTGGGTGTGCAGGCGTTGCACCCTGACATTTGAAGGGGGCAGAGTGCACTTCTGTTTCAGAGGGAAACTTTTATTATTTGTCAAGGAAAGCTGCCAAAATCTGGCATGGCAGTGCTTTGCCACATAAGATGGTAGATGAAACCTGACACTTTTTGCATGAATGACCAGCGTGAAATTCATACAGCGTTTAAACACCACTTTTAGCATAATGGGTACAGGGGGCTCCTGTTGGCTAACAGGAGGGTGAAGGCAGTGGATACTTCTTGTCTGAATTGATCTGTCCTAAAAACAAGTCGTCTTTAGAGTAGAGGCCTCCAGGCTGTGGTTGCAGGAATATCCTTTCTCAGCAGCAAATGAGGAAGGGCAATACAGAATTACCGTACTCTGTACTTGAGTTAATTGCAGCTTAGTTGACATTTCATAGGTTGTTGAAAACTGAAGGGGCATTCCTAGTCTTTATATAATAACCATAAAATATTTACTATGTTATAATAATAGCATAATAAATAAGATTGTTCTGTTGGGTTTTTTTTCCTTGCACTGTCCATCTTGTCTGATGGATGATTTATAGTTTCCAGAATTGTTAACTTCTCTCACTTTGAAGGAACTAAAATTGTGGGGCTAATTCCCCTTTTACAAGACAAGGGAAACCGCTATTATAAGTAAATGAAGAACAGCAGTTCTTTTTTTTTTTGTGACTTTTTTTTTTTTTTTTCCCCCAAGCAAGCTCCTGCAGAGTGCTTTTATAATATTATTGGTCTGAAATACACTGTTTGAAGCCAGTGACAATAGCAATTAAATGACCTACCAACTTCCCAGTCAAATATGAATGTGAAAATAGACCTTTTTTTGAACATGATTTCTGAACTGCGGTCTAGAAATAAACCTGAAAGTGGTCGGTAACCAGTTGGCGTATATTTTTAATCCATCCACACTAATTGTAGTTTTTTCTTTTTCTCCCCCCACCCCACCCCCCAAATGATCACGAAGATTTTCACTCTCAACACAAAACTTCCCACACGTTTTTGTTAACTAACTTTGGGGGAAAAGGGAACATGAACTTGGAACTAAGTCAAATGTGCAAATTCCGGTTAAAAATGTATACTTGCCTTGGAGGGGAGGTTTGTTTTATTTTAGTTCATAAGGCTTCTAGGAGATAGGAGAAATCTAAAATAAGAAGAGACGAGTACATCTAACAGATCGTAATGGTAAACAAAACTACTAAATTTTATGTGGTGCCTTTTTAAAATTAATATACAGGAATATTCATGAAAATGGTATTTTTTTCAGATACTCCAATTCTTCCTGTCAGCTAGTTGGTATTCTGAAGATGAAAGTAAAATATTCAAATAGTAATTCCTGTTCTTGGTACAGTCTCTCCCTCCATTCTAACTAATGGAAATGAATACTAACTTGAACAACAATATGCTTACAAGCAACGAACTTCCTGCAGCTAAGGATAACATTCTAAAATCTAAGGTCCATACAGCTTGATATTCAGAATAATTTCCTCTAGATGCACATAGTACAAGATTTATGAACAGTCTGGAGTAGCTATTATTTTATGCATTAGGGAATAGTGATCTGCCTGTTAGAATTTAATTGCAGTCTTTCTGGGAGCGGGTATGTACAAACTATCTAATGCTTTATTGTATCAATGAAAATAACCAAGGCATCTACTAGCAGCAAACACAATTGGCAAAAAAATGGTGCAAATAGGTTTGCATCATTGTTTATTGTTGAAGAGTAGATTGAAATGAAAATAGCCAGATGAGTCTCATTCAGTGAATTGCTGAATGCTATTGTATGGTATGCTATTACAGAGAGGATTTTAAATGTCTAATGCTATTGCTTTTTTCAGGGATCATTATTTGAGTGTTGTAACATGGGTGACAGATGAAAGGATCAGTCTGCAATGGCTCAAAAGAATTCAGAATTTTTCAGTCCTCACAGTCTGTGACTTCAGCAGCACTCTTGGAAATTGGGCGTGTCCGCAGGTAAGAAAAATGAAATGGGAAGTTGCAATCCTTGGTAAATGGGACTGGAAAGGAGTAGAATATCTCTGTGTGTTTATCTTCGTAGAAACATGGCCTGATGTTGAATAAACATAACTGTTGTGGGATTGTTTGTTTTTTCTTTCTTAGGAAAAACAAGTTACAGAAGAAAGTAAAACTGGCTGGATTGGCAGAGTGAGTATTCAGTTTCTAAAACTGCCACATGCTAAATAACACTGATAATTAAGAAAATTTCATATGAGCCTCACGCTGGTTGCAGCGCCTCTTGTGTCCAGGTCTGATCCATTCACTTGTTGCAATACACACGTATAGGAAAAAGCGGTTTCAAACGGAGCCGCCATGCCGGCCCACTCCCAATTTTAAGCTTTTGTGGGTATGGGGTTCTGAACTTCCAGGCAGGGCTGACAGTGCTGCACGGGCTGGAGCTGTAACTGCATCGTGTCCAGCTTGCCAAAAAGCAGAGTGCTCCTTCCAGACTCCTTTTTAATTCTGACCTACCGCTTTGGTAGTGGTAGGTGGGGGAGTGCGGGAGCCAGGATTCAGAATTCCCTTTGTTCTGGGGGAGTTGTCAGCTATGCTGGTTTGGCAGCTCTCCAGTCTTCCTGCCACATCCAGAATGATCTAGGGGATAAAATGTATTAAGTGTATCCTATAACCTTTGAATTGTATTGAAGGAAGGGCATGGAGTACAAAAGTCACTTTTAGTGTTTCAGGTTGCAGCAAACCATTCCAGGTTCTCCTTGGGTTTTGTTTTTATTTATTTTCCCCCTACCCAAAATATCCATTGGAGAGCACTAGGGACAAGATGCATATAACTGACCAGATTAAAATTTTCATACGCTCCTGCCATACCAATCGCTACTGTCTGGATGATGCTTTCCAAGCTGCCTCTCAGTCCTTTTGTACATGGTAGAGAGTAGGCACCTAATGAACTACACAGAAGATCTGGGGGAAGTGAAGCAGAGATGCAAAAGTTCAGACTTGGAGGGAGAAATGAGTTTCAGAGTTTTTGATGAGAACACAGAGTACACTTTCCACTCCCGCATTTTTCCACACACTGATTATGCTTTAGTCACTAATTCACTTTTGAAGTCAAAAATGAAAGTTTAAAGAAATGCAAAGAGGGAGGCAACAGCAGGGATGAAATCATCCGCAGTATGAAGATGAGAGATCAACCCACCTGCTGTCAAATTTGATATGGAAAGGAAGGCCTTAACGCTGACACATTTTGCTTCTCTGCAGCAAAGGCTTCACAATTAGACAATGTGATGATCAAGCTGCAGACTTTGTAAACAGTTGTGCAAAATGAGAGGGCAAAATGCGAGTCTGTGCCATTAAACTAGGTTGTTGGTTTTTTTGTTTCTTTTAAAGAGACAACCCACATCTTGGGAGCTGTTGGAAGAAAAAGATAATCTCCCTGTATGATTCTTGGATTTGAGAAGGGAGTGGAAAGTAGGGAGGATTGAAGAGGGGATAGGAAAGGTATATTTATTCCTTTCTTATCTGCTTAGGGATAATAAAACGACACTTGACTGATAAGGGATATTTTTATATATGTATGAGGCGTATATATACAATTCATAAGTGTACATACAAACATAAGTAAATTATATATATGCATGTAAAATATAGACATATAGTTCTCTCTTTGTATATATCTATAGTGGTGTTTTCTTTTTTCAAAAATAGAGATGAAATTATACTTAATCTAAGAATGCTCAGAACAGCCTGTGTTACTGCATAAGGCTTCCAGGTCATGAGCTAAGTTAGAGCTTGCCAGTTGAGTTGAAGGGAAGTCACACTTTGAAAAGGCAAGACTGCAATAAGGGAGATGCTAGTAAAATATTTGCCAGGTTATTTTTTTGCAAAAATATTGCTAGGGAAGGAGAGATTGTCTGGAGCACGTGGGTTAGGAAGACTCAAGTTCTGTCATTGCTTACTGACTGACCAGAGGTGAGTCACTTCATCTTTCTGTTTCAATTCCCGTTTCAAAAATGGGTATAACATCTCAGAGGTAATTGCATTGTGTCAGTTGGCTAAGTAACATCTAGATGTTTCAGACGCTTTCCACAGAAATGACTTTTATTTCATTCGGCTCAATTTCATTCCTCCGCTTTTCTCTCTACTGCGTGGAGCACATCCAAATGACAGTCAGTAGAAGGAATCCATTCATTTCTGTCACTCACAATTGATAAATGGATAGTTCCTTCATGAAAACATCATTCCAGTTTTGGGTTCTCTGGCATTCTGTAATCACCTACTTAGTAGCAAAATTTCCTCTTGGAAAGCAGCTTGTTTGAATAAAAGGGGGACATTTTTCACTGTCAAGCAAAAAAAAAAAAAAAGAGTTCAAAGAATTTGTTCACAAAGACATGTTTTAAAATGATAACATCACGGAAAACCTGTATTTGCAATGTTTACACTGTTGGCATTGGACAGAATAAAACAATAACCTTAAAAGTAAATGCGCGTATTGTTTCCTAAAATGGTAGGATACTGGGAACACCTGTAGGCCTTCAAATTCAAGGAGGATAGGAAGGGACATCGATCATTACAAGGGCTAATACTCAGGAAATTCTACTGCTTAAGGAGCAAGAAAATATTTTAAGTGTGTTTACTTTTAAGGTAATGGTTACAGGTTCTACCTACTAAGTCAGCGTGCAAAAATTTTCACAGTACGTTCAGCAATGCCTTGTTTTAAGCATTGAAACTCCTGTTTAGAGATATCAAAACCTAAATTTATCATTTTGGTTTTGGAGTTTTGTTGTTTGCTTTAATAGACGTTTCTCTGGTGTTCAAGTTTCAGCCATCTGTCCCTCACTTTGCACCCGACAATGCTACCTACTACAAAGTCTTGAGCGATAAGGAAGGTTACAAGCACATCCACTACGTAAATGGCTCACGGGTAAGTCCTGAGGTGGAGGACTGCCGACTTGTGTTTCTCCTGGTGATAGAGGAGCTTCACATTCTACTTTTTGCCTTGCCTTTTCCCACCCCTCCAGGCTCCAGTACCTATTACTACAGGAAAATGGGAAGTAATCAGCATAGAAGCTGTAACCAATAACTTTTTGTAAGTATTGTAATTAAGCTATTGTATACGCTCCTATACTTGTAACAAGGGTCTAAGCAAGCAGGGAGGGAGAACAGGGTGGTGGTGTCACGTTACACATTAAAAATCTGATCTAAACATCTAAGATAAACCTTTAAATATTGTAATGTACTTTAAATATTTTACCAAAACCAGTATGTTTTGCTTTTGTAGATACTACATCAGTAATGAAAACCGTGGAATGCCAGGAGGAAGAAATCTGTATAAGTAAGGAGTTTTCTCTGCAGTATGAATAAAATATTTGTTAAAGAAAAATAAACTTTAAGAAATTGCAGACATCCTAATCTTTCATTTTGCAGTCTAATGTGGGTTCCTATATAGGATATTTAATGAAAATCAGTGTAGGAGTATCAGCTGTAAAAATAACTGAAATATTTTTCTGTAAGTTTAGTTAATAAAGGGAAATTGTGAAAAGAAACAACCAATCCTTGAGCAACAAACCCCCCCAAAAAAACTCTTTTTTTTTTTTTGCTATGATTATAGTTCCAGTATTAATTTAACTCATAAGTTTAAAGTCTGTTTTCTCTAATTTTTAAATCAGTAACGACTGTACTTCTGAATTTTAACATATTTCATTCAGTCATCTTATTTAAAAAGCATACATTTGTTTAGCATAGCTTAAAAAAAAAAAAAAACAAAACAACAAAAGGTCTCTCATCTCTGAAATGGAGCTCGTCTACTTTGCAGAGTGCTCTTGGAAAGCAGTCCAGATTCTACTAAATGTGTTAGCTGTGATCTGAATCCAGAAAGATGCCAGTATTATTCTGTGTCCTTCAGCAAAGACGCACAGTACTATCAGCTAGATTGTCGTGGTGAGTAGATCTGGAATTAATTGACATAAACATGACTCACTGATTAGTTGGGTGGGGAAGTTCACTTCGTCAAGATCTTGATACGCACTGCGTACCAATGATATGTGTTGATATCGTGGGATAAATGCATTGGCAACAGAAAAACATACTCCCTTCCTAGGCTCAAAAGCACCTTGACAAAGTTACAAGGAAAAAATTCGATAGTTCTGTCAGTGGACCTGAAAGAGGTACAAAACACTCCTGTCCTCTGTGCATCTCCTCAAGAGTTGCATGGGGAGCTCTGTCTGTAGAAGGAATTTGGAGGCTGTGGGTACAAGGTGAGCAACAGGCTGCGTAAAGAGAAGTGCTCTATGTGTGGGAATAAAATTAAGATAGATAGTGCTGTTCAAAAATAAATAAAAAAAAATCCAGTGAACACAGTCATAAATTAAGCCATGGGACTGTAGTCTCTCTTTGACCTGTACGTGCTTGTGCTGGATAATACAAGAGATAGATAAATTTCTGAAAGGGTGGGAAAAATAAAATCTGCTCTGAAAGTTCCCTTAAATTGAAATGTGTGTTGGTTTTTAAGATGCCAAGACCTTCCTTGATCTATGGGCAAGAAGGACAGACAGCAGAGGGAATTGTTCTGTAAGGCTGTAAAAATGGTTGTTTGAAGACGACTGCTGTGGCCTCCTTGACAAGGCTTACTGATTTCCAAACCGTGGTCCACAACAGATGGGTAGACTTTGCTGAAGAACGCAAGTTTAGTTCTTCAGTACCTCCACAATCATGTGGTTCGCCTGTGAGACAGTCTGAATATTTTACGTAATCCTGTGGCTTGCGTTTGGGCCCTACTAACTTAATCCAGCTTGGTGCAGACTGGAGGGAAATGAGTTCTGAGCTTTTATGATTCATCCACTTCCAATTACTTTACAAAGGTTGTGTTTTGAGGCAGCATGCACACATGAAGGTTTCGTGCTCTGTTAACAGGTCCTGGCCTGCCCCTGTCTACTCTGCACAAAAGCAGTGATGATCAAGGTATGGGATTGCCTTAAAACATAATTTGTGCTGAGCCAGAAAACTGAACTGTAAATTTATTTTATTTTTGTTCTCGTTGCTTAGTATAATTAAAATTCCAGTTACAAAGGGTAAATCTAATTTCAGATAATTACTCTAGTACAGTTAACCAGAAGAATAAATTATATAGCTTGGCATACATTTATTCATAGTTTATTTAATATTATTTTACATTGTGCTAGAAAACAGTGAGTAATGTATGACTTATTTACTGGATAATTGTTCAGTTTTTTCTGAAATTGCATTTAGATGAAAAATGGGGAAACCAGCTTTCTAGTTACTAAATTACTGAAGGAAAATTATATCGTAAACATTGACTCTGAGAGGAAAAACAAAAACTGCAGTAAACAAAGACTGCAATGTAGGTTGCTATCATCTCAGATTGAATTTTTGAAGTAGTGCATAATTAAAGAGCAGTGCGTTTGAAAATAATGTGTTTAATCTTTGACTCTTACTAACTCTGTTTAGTCCTCAGATACTTGGAAAATAACACTGAACTGGAAAATTCATTGAAAGATATTCAGATGCCTTCAAAAAAAATTGACTCTATTAGTGTAGCTGGATACAGTAAGTTCAAAAACATGTTTTACCTTTCTCTACTCTTTCACCAAGTCCTTCAAGGTCTTCTGCTGAAAAGCATGACAGAAAAGATGGGGGTAGTGGGGATTATTGCAGTTGTTCAGCACTTGCAGGCAGAACAAGATTATCTTGTTTGACATCTCCAAACATTCTGTTTTCTTCTGAAATCCCAAAATATCTTATCTGAAATATGTTTTTTCCCTAGTGTGGTATCTTGATATTTTCATGATGAAGTGGCTTAACTCCTTTTTTCCTTGGTAATTACCTGAAAAAACAGAAGTCCCTAACACTACATTAAATATATAAGAGGAATGAGGGGTGGGACACACAGCTCAGAAGCGTTGTTGAATTTAAATTAAATTATAAATTCAAGTAGGTCTTAATTTACAGGATCAAGTCACTTTGGTTTGTGTTAGCAGGTTGGGATAGTGAAGTTCAGTTATTGTCAAAAAGCAAATGCAGAATCTAAATGGAAAAGGTTGCAAAATCATTTAGGCTACATTTCGACAGATCACCTTTGACTTTGTGTAGGGGAATATTTGGATTGAATAGTCACGTTCTTAAAAGCACATTCACTCTCCAAGACTACATAAAGCTCTGAATACAGACTAGAACAAAATGCTGGAAAATGAGTTAATGCTTTGCTAGCGGTGCTCTGAATTTCCCCGTCTGGATACAGAAGCTTTCTTGGTGCGTTCCTAGGCTGAGGTACAGCAGATAGACCGGCATTGACAGGGCTGGTACCTGTCTAAACTCTTCTTGCTCCAGCCTTTGCTGCTGGCTCTTCTCTTCATGGCAAACTTCCTCTTGATAGAATCAATGAGTGTTCTTAATGGAATTATATTTTACAAACTGTATTGAGTTCTGTCAGTCATTGTTAACTGGTCTTTTTGATGCCTGCCTCCTTCCACTGTTCCCTTGTTTATATAATAACTCTCTTTATCTTTGTGTTTTCTGTCTTTTATTTCTGTCACATTTTTACTAGGGCTAAAGATGAAATCTTCCAGGCAAGATGGAAGTTTAAAGATGTTCTTCGTGCTATCAGTTGTATATTCATCTTTTTATTCCTCTTTGTTCTTACTCCTTCATCTCTTCGGGGTAAAAGCTTTTGGGTAAGGGGAATCTATTTTTCATGTCACAAATAGGAGAAATAAATCCATTTATGTGGTCCTACTTCAAGTTACGAGTCTGCTCACAAAATCCATGTATGTTATCAAAGAAGAAATCTGCTCCCGTGACTATAGAGTACACAAAACATTAAAGTTCTTATTTTCATGTGTTCAACTTAAATTGTTAATTTTCCTGCATTTACATGTTTTGTATATTCATATCTGGAGAAATTTCTGTAAGACTTGCACTCTGGCTATTACTGCAGCGCGGTCCATCAGCTTTGCTTCATGCTTCCTTTGCAGCATCAGGTCTTTTAAAATTCATGAGTGAACAGTTTAGCCAATCAATTCACAAAACTTGCATGGTGCGCGTTTAAAATGTTCAGCTAACTCTCAGTCAGCTTGGGTGGAAAGAGTAACATGGATGGAATGGGAATGAATGTTGCTCAAGAAATAATAGATATTTGGGTATGTTTCTGGGATGCTTTACAAACTGTTGTGCAAAGCCTACCTGGCAGGTTCAAAATATTTAAAATTTCTCTTTAGTGCTGGGAGAGGAATTTGAGCAGAGAAACATTTTTTGATCTAGTGTGAGATTTACTGCTATAGAGACTTACCAAGTTTTACACGCAAGCTTGTAATGTAGAATAATGTTACGAGGCAGCATGTTGAGTCCCCCACTTACTTAATATTAAAAAAAAAAATAGATTAGCTAGGAATTTCTACCTGTATATATTAGGACAGGTCAGATTAAATTACTTTTTAATTTTTAGGGGGTGACTCAGATGTGCTCTTGCATGAATTGCAATGCATGTCAAATTATTTCACTGGAGAACTGACCTAAGTCAAACTCTCTTCACTTTTAGACCTGTGGTATCAAATGATACTGCCTCCCCATTTCGATTCATCAAAGAAGTACCCTCTGCTCCTTGATGTGTAAGTCTTCAAGTTACATGGCAATGTTGTGTTAATAATTACTTTCATCTGCTTCAGATGCTCTTAGTAAGATTGGGAAACACAAAACTGGCATGTTTTCTAATTACTTCTTGAAGTAGTTTTAACTGGGAATGAATAAAGCGAGGTGTATCCCAATTTGTGATAGATTTCTGTACCATAAGATGATGTAATGCTTAACAAGCACATATTTTGCTGGTGGCAGCGAGGCAGATACATTCTGCATCTCACTTAAAAGCCAGGATGTTAGCATTACCTTAGCTCCTTGTTTGGTCTCAGACGCCATTGGGGATAACATTCATAGAATCATGGAATGGTTTAGGTTGGAAAGGACCTTGAAGATGATCGAGTTCCAGCTCCCCTGCCATAGGCAGGGACACCTCCCACTAGACCAGGTTGCCCAAGG